GTACCCCGCTAGCAGGGATTTTCTCGCCAGAGACTTGCCACCCATGTGTTGGGCGTTAATCCCTTCGTGTATCTCATGTAATACCTCGGGGACTGTGGATTCGTCGATGCATTTAAGGAGGGGAATCGAGAATCCCCTGCGGTATAGTTTATGCTCGAGCACCACGTAGGAGCATGCTCGTCGTTTCGTGATGGTCGCTTCTGTCTGGTCCGAAGGGAGTTCTCCCTTTGTCATAAAATTGTACACTGGGGTCATCCAGCTCGAGGTGTCTCTGATGGCGTGCACCTCGACTGGGGTCGAGGACCTCTCGATGCTCGAGCATGACAGGGATTCTTGTATGACGGATTTGTTTCCGCCCTTCTTTCTCGTGCTTGCGAGTTTGGACAATATGTCTGCCCTTGTGTTTTGCTCGCGCGGAACGTGTGACATTTCTGCTCGGTCGAACCTTTTCATGTGTTCTTTGACTAAGTTTAAGTATTCGACGAGGCTGTCGTTTTTAGCTTGGTAGCTCCCTTGGACTTGGGAAGCCACGAGCTGTGAGTCTGTGAAGATTTGTATCTCGCGGGCTCCTAGGTCCTGGGCTAGCCTTAGTCCTGCGAGCAGGGCCTCGTACTCTGCTTGGTTGTTCGAAGTCAGGAAGGAGAGAGTTAACGAGTTCTCGATCACTACGCCTTTCTCATTTTCTAGGAGGATCCCCACACCGCTTTCGGACGAACTGGAAGCTCCATCGACGAAGATGGTCCATTTGTGCTCCTTCCCTGCGGGCGGGTCGTGAACGGTCATTTCCGCGACGAAGTCGGCCAGGGCTTGTGCCTTTAGAGATTTCCTGCTTTCGTATTGAATGTCGAACTCGGAGAGTTCCAAGGACCATTTCAACATTCAGCCCGCCATATCAGGTCGACCTAATAGTTGTTTTACTGGTTGGTCGGTTCGTACTATGACTGTATGGGCCAAGAAATAGTGTCTGAGTCTCCTCACCGCGTTGACGAGGGCTATGGCTACTTTTTATATCTGTTGGTATCTGCTCTCATGTCCTTGTAGGGCTTTGCTCGTGAAATAAATGGGCTTCTACCCGTCGGTGGTCTCGCGAATGAGAGTCGCGCTGATGGCCTCGTTTGAGACGGCCAAGTATAGGAATAAAGGCTCCCCGTCGACTGGTCGAGACAGCACGGGGGGTTGGGATAGACTTTGTTTTAGATGGCGCAGTGCCCACTTACATTCCTCGAACCATTCGAAGGCTGCTTCTTTGTGAAGGAGTCTGAAGAAGGGGAGAGCGTGCTGAGCGGATCTTGCGACGAAGCGGGACAATGACGTGAGCATACCGTTCATGATTTGTATTGATTTCTTTGACGTAGGTGTCGGGAGGTCGGAGAAGGCTCGACATTTGTTGGGATTGGCTTCAATTCCTCGTTCTGTCAGGTAGAACCCGAGGAATTTCCCCGCCTTGACCCCGAACGTGCATTTTACGGGGTTGAATCTCATGTTACATTATCTTGCTTGGGCGAAGACTGCTTTGAGGTGTGTTGCATGATCGGTGTCTGCTCGGGACTTGACGATCATGTCGTCCATGTAAACCTCGAGCATGTCTCTGATTTTCTTGTGGAACACTTTGTTTATCATGCGTTGGTAAGTTGCCCCCGCGTTCTTCAGTCCAAAGGGCATTACGTTGTAGTAATAATTGCCCGAGTTGGTCATGAAGGTAGTGCAATTTTTGTCGCCCATGGCCATTGGGATTTGGTTATAGCCTGAATAAGCATCCATGAACGACAATATCTTGTAGCTGACCGAGTTGTCGACCAGCATATCTATGTTCGGTAGGGGAAAGGCATCCTTCGGGCATGCCCGATTGAGATCAGTATAATCAACACACATTCACCATTTTCCATTATTCTTTTTAACTAGTACAACATTTGACAGCCAGGTTGAATACCGGGCTTCAGAAATAAAATTTTCCTCTAGGAGGTCTTTTATAGCTTTTTTAGCAGCCTCTGTTTTCTCTGGTGACTGCCTACGCATATGTTGTACTTCTGCCTTAGCGGCATGATCTATGGCGACACGGTGACAGGCGACCTCGGGGTCGAGTCCGGGCATTTCCGCGGCGCTCCAGGCGAACAGGTCGGCATTCTCACGCATGCAGGCTTTGATTTTCTTCCTTGCCAGGTCGGGGAGGTCGATGCCAATCTTCACTCCTTTGCTTGGGTCTGCACCGAGGGGGACGAGCTCGAAGTCCCCGTTCGGGATTGGTCGGAGGGGGATTTGCTCGCCGTTGGGAGGTTCGTCCTGATCGAAGCGAGTATCCAGAGCTATGGAGTCGACCTTTATGGGAGCTCTCTGGTCTTCTACCTTGGCGGGCTCTGATTTGTCGGGCTCCTGTCGTGTCTTCGCCGGTCTCTTGGCGGGCCTTGTCCCGGTATCGACAGTGTCGCGTCCTTTAGATGCAGCGTTGAAACACCTTCGGGTAGCGGCTAGGCCCCCTGGATGGTAGCCACCCGTGCCCTATTGGTGTAGAAATTCATCTTCAAGTGGACGGTGGAGGGCACCGCGGTCAGCTCTGCCAGTGTTGGTCTCCCTAGAATGCAGTTGTAGAGGGACGGGCAGTCGATGACGAGGAAGCGTACCTTAACCTGCCTCGTCGTCGTGCCCTCACCGAAGGTAATCATGAGCTCGACATATCCCCAAGGCTTGGAGGTCGAGATGTTGAAGCCCTGTAAATCCGACCCTACATACGACGAGAGGTGCGAGTCGTCTAGCTGCAGAGTCCGGAATAACTGACTGTACATCACTTCGACGGAACTTCCTTCATCGACGAGGATGCGGTGCACATCAAAGTTAGCCATTATCGCTCTTATCAGTAGAGAAATGACTGTGTTAGGGGCTCCTTCGGGGAGCTCTTCGAGGTAAAAGGTGATAGGCTCCGACCTACCTTTTACCCTTTCAAAGGTCACTGTCTGCGGAGGTGCCGAGTCGACCAATTCATCAAGCTTTCTCTTGGCCGAATTGATAGTTAGGTCGTTGAATCCTCCACCATGGATGACCATGGTGGAGGGAAAGTATTCCCACCTACTGTGGGTCGTGAGAGGCTCCTGCAGGTGTTCGGGGACGTAGAAGTCCTCCGGTTTGGTGACAGAGAAGGCGGTCTGGACGGGGACCGACTCGTCAGATGGTCGGGCGTCTTCCTCCAGTTCTCTTGTCTCCCGAGCGTCACGACGGGGAGCGGCGATTCGCCGGTATTGGGCGAGCCTCCCTCCCTTGATGAGGGTTTCGATGGCGTACTTGAGGTGGACGCAGTCTTCAGTCAGATGACCATGGCTCCTATGGTACTAACAGTACTTGCTCTTATCTACTCCGGGCTTGACAGGAGCAGGTCGGGGGCGTTTGACGCTGCCGTCTTTAAAATCCGTGCTGACACACTCCGCCAAAATGCGCTCGTGGGAAGCTGTGAGCGGAGTGTATTCGGTAAAACGCCCCGAGGGTCCTCTTTGCTCTCGGACTTCTCGGGGTCTGTCCTCTTTTCTTTTCTCCCCGGCTCGTCGAGGAGGGGCGGTTTCCTGGCGCAGGTTGCTGCTGGATCCGCGAGTTCTGGGGTCCCGGGCTCTGTTGGCCGCCTCCCTTTCCTCGTAATCCATATATGCCCGGGCCTTCTCGAGGAGGGCATCGAATGTTCGGGGCGGCTCGATGCCCACTGCCTTTCTGAATTCTGTGTCGGGGAGGAGCCCCCTCTCCAGCAAGTACCTCTTCATGTGGTCCGCGCAGGGGACCTGTATGGCTCCGCGATTGAAGCGATTAATAAACTCTCTTAAGGTTTCATCCTGTCTCTGGATGATGGCCTCGAGTGCTGCCTCGGTCTTTAGGTGTCTCTGAGACGCAGTGAACGAACTTATAAATTGGTTCTTCAGGTTTCGCCACGAGGTGATTGATCCCGAAGCGAGACCTTTATACCAATCCATTGCTGCCTTTCTGAGGGTCGTGGGGAACAACCGGCATTTGATGGGTCCCCCGACGTTGTGGTAGTGCAACATAGCCTCGAACCCGTCTATATGGTCGCTTGGGTCCGCGACTCCGTCGTATTCCTTCAGATGTGGAGGCTTCTGCATGCCCGAGGGAATGGGCGCCTCCATGATGGCTTGTGACAGGGGACCGCGGGGGTCGTCCTCGTCACTTCGCTCCGAGGACAGGGATGGGGACCTGAGATATTGTCGTGCCCGACGGTCCTGGTCGTGTTGGACATCCCTCGAACGCGGTGCTCGTTGGTCAATTCTTCTGTGCATGTCTCTAGAGTGTCTTTTCTCTTGCCGTATGGGGCCATGGTTGCGCCCTCCGGCCTCAATGATGGGTTATATTAGAAGAATAAGTAGTTAATAAAAAAACATCCAACCCATACATATTTCGGCTTGTTAATTTCTCTGATTAAATATAAGAAAAATAAAATTTATGGCATATAAACTAAACAAAGTGCTTTTAGCTACGTTTGGAAATTATATAAAGTTAGGCAACGGTTTAAAGTGTGGCTAAAAATAAACCGTGGTGATAGACAATATTTTTCATTGTTGTGTAGTTTTCTAGGGACGAAATGCAATATATTTTTATAAAAATTTTAATTTTTTTTTAAGATTTCTGAGTGTTTTTAATATATCAGGAAATTTAGTAGAAAGATTTTTTATATACAATTTTTTTTAAAATTTTCTCTATTTTTAATATTGGATCGAAGAATTTCAAAAAAAAATGAAAATTTTAAACATAAACCTTTTTTAGAGGAGTATTTTATACCAATTGTATAAATTATAGGGTGGAAGATGATTATTGAGATATGGGCTAAAATTTTCACTCCAAATTCACACCAAAGACTCTAGAATCCTATTCTTTAAGGGTCAACTCGACATTTTAACAACTTTGATCTTGAAGTTATTCAGCAACAAAATAAATAGTGATTAAAATGCAACTTATTTTATCTAGAATAATTATTTTTCTGCAATTCAATTACAAACCAACAACAAATCTCATCAATAATGGTGGCAACGTGGTTGATCTTGCCTCAAGCGACTCACACTCACAGCATAAGTAAATCTTCCCCTCTTACATTTAGGTCGTCGATTATCTTGGCCAAGGAGTCTTTTCACACCCATTTCATATAAATCTACAACAAAATAATTTAAAATAAATAAACAATATTGAAATTTAATTATGATCAATTAATTCTCCATAATTGTCTAAAAGAAAGAAAATAAATGATGTTTTTTTTATACAAGGAAGCTTACTTACCTGAGTTTAATTTAGAAACATTAGGAATGTTCCTAGCTAATGGTTTGGTAGAAAAACTCAAAACACAGAGAAAGAGAACCACACAAATAAGCAAACACCTCTTTGAAGCCATTATTATTCTTTCTAGTTCAGTTTTACAATATAGTAACACATGCTGTAATATATAATCCAAAATCGGTGGTGGTAGGTAGTTGCTTAATTGTTTTTCCAGCTGTTTTTTTTAGTTTGATAACCTAACTACTTTCCTTCTTGGATGCTTCCTCGTAAATTAAGTCAACGGATTGAAGGACAATATTGTCAAAATCGAATATATGAATATCTTTCTATTTATAGAAAAAATAAAATCATTTAATTTTTTGTTTTTTATGCCCTCTCCTGATCATAGTTGTGGGGGATCAAATCGAAATCCTCCATATCAAGTCCAGAGTCAATTACTACTGAACCAACTAACTATTGTTATTTAATTCTTATTCTTATCCACCTCATATTTATTTATAATAATTTATTTATTTATAAATTTAATGATAGCATACTGTCAGTGTAAATCAATATTACACATACAATCAATCAAATTTCATATACTTGCCATGTCATAACAATATTTTAAAAATAAAAATATGTTTTAATTGGGCATATGATTTTGATTGGTTGATAGTGTAAAACACTACGCCAAAAAAGACCTATGAAAGTGCTTTTTTTGGCCTTTAAAAGCGCTTTCTAAGGTGGCGCTGCTAAAGGTTTTAGCAGCGCTTTTTGTTTAATGAAAAGCGCTTTCATAGGTCTACTTATGACAGCGCTTTTTCTAAAAAGCGCTCTCTCAAGTACCCTTATGGCAGCGCTTTTTCTTTAAAGCGCTCTCTTTAGTACCCTTATGGCAGCGCTTTTTCTAAAAAGCGTTCTCTTAAGTAGGCTTTTGGCAGCGCTTTTTCTAAAAAGCGCTCCCTTAAGTAGGCTTTTGGCAGCGCTTTTTTATGAAAAAGCGCTTTCATTGGTGGCGCTTTTTTTGGAAAAAAGCTTTCATAGGTTGTCTTTTAGCAGCGTTTTTTCTTGGAAAAGCGCTGTCATAGGTCTACCTATGAAAGCGCTTTATGTGAAAAAGTGCTGTCATAGGTCTACCTATGAAAGCGCTTTTCTCCAAAAAGCGCTTTCATAGGGTGTTTTTTTTAGAGGTATTATTTATATAATTCATATACCTGCATTGTTTGTCATAACCTGTAATTCATAAATAGCGGTAATGCATTGTAATTCCGATACCCCGTTCTCGTACTCTTTCGACAATCGATTGGAATACATCCATGTCTTATCCATGGTTTACGGTTTCTGAGTCAAAACCAATACTCAATATAACAAAACCAATACTCAATACTTTTCACTAAATTCATTTTATTCTATCAACTACTTTAGTACACAAGTATAACACAAGAAACCATAAACAAGAAACTATCATTGCTCAAAATCAATCATAAATTATGTTTGTATCTCAAATTATATATAAACCATTGTTATCAGTATTCTAACTCAAAATCAGTCTTACAAAATCAACCCTAACAACAACTAAATCAGTCCTTATATTATTCTCTGCTCAATAAAATATTGACACAACTCCTCTTTGGTTTCTTCCAACTGAAGTTTCGTGTAATATGCACATTTGTACTCATCGAAGTACTACATAAGAAAACATAATATGCATGATTTAGTTAAAAGTAAAAAATTATATGGAATATCCGAGAAATAATAAAACAAATTCTAAGTTATAAATTCATACCGTGACTGGAATCTCTATTTGATTCAGTTGAATGATTTCTTTGATAAACCGCATAACGAAGTATCCGCAATCTATACCGTTTTGCTGTTGAGGACACTACATAGAAAACACAAATAAGAATATATAGTTGTATTGTTTTATCAAATAGCATAAATATTATAAGCAAAATAGTGGAAATTAATATACCTGCACTTTGATCCAATTAATGTTGTTTGATTTAGACCGTCGTACCCGAGCTTCTCTTTGACACCGGAATACTTGTATCGCTCTAACAAAATAAAAATATATATTTAGAACAATGTCACAGAAATAATTAAATACATAAATACACATAAATATTTAGAATAATCTCACTTACGTATCAATCATTAACTTCATATCCGGATAATTTGTCCAATCACCGTCAACCGAATTCAGATAATAGACCACTTCTTTTATAGGATGGATAGCAACCAACAACCACTGACGTCTATAAATTAAAACAACAGTTTAGAAGAAATTTTTCTACGCAAAAATTACAAATATTAAAATGAATTTAGAATGAAAATCTAACCCTGTAGGAATAGTATTATACGCCCAAAGATATAAGCTTTCTGTACTTCCAGTTGCCATGAATCTTTCGACTAAGTGCTCTCTTACTGAATCCGGTTCCCTACCAATTGTCACTCCGCTAACACGGGAGGAAGACACAAAATGGAATATGTTTGACAATTGATTCCCGCGCATCAATTTGTCATATAACAGCCTTAAATAAAAACATAATTAATATTAGAGTATATTCATTGAAAATGTTTTAAAAAGATTTCAGCTAATTACATAATATAAAGATGGGGTTACCGGATGTATGCGTGCATAATACTGACGCCCAATTCTTTATGACGGAAAATATGTTCCACGTCCTCATGTCCAATTATTTATGTGCAAGGAAAACCAAAAATACCTTGATCCATATCAATTTGACGAATACCACCATCCATCAAATTTGTTGTTCCCACTATTGTTTCAAGACACTGCTGGTATCGAGGGAAAAATCTAGTAGGCACCCTTTTCTTGGGTGGTACGCCAACGATTTTCTGGCTCACTTGTTGTGACCCATGAAAAGGTACCTAAAAATCATATAAACTCGGTTAAATTATAAAATTATGCAGTTTTTTATTCGGATCATATAATTAACACTTTAAACGTACCTCTTTTGGTGATACGTCAGACTCGTCGTGCCGCAAAATCCCTTTACCCTTAGATGCGGGTGTTGTAGGAGTCTATAATTACCGTGGAAATAACTGAGGTCAGAACTGACAGTTGAAGACTTAAAGATTCATAATTGTTTTCAACATACCTGGTCATCTATGAAAATGAGGTCGGATGGCCATGCAACAAAAGATCCAATTGCATCTCGCAGCAATGTGGTCTTAGCAACAATGTCAGGTACCGGCAGCAATGCATCCATATCTAAAGCAATGTCAACCGATACTTTCATGTGACCATCTGGAAGCGGTCTATTATGAAGTAAATCTCCCGAACTGTTATGGACTTTTCCCTTGCCAACTAGTTGATAAGTCGGTGACGATAGGTATAGCTGGCAAGATGCAATGCCCTAAACCAATAATAACCGTTAGAAGTGACTAAAAATATTCTATAGTAATAACGGATATATATTGAAAATTACCTCGGGAAATTTATGCTGACAGTTGATACTAGCTTTGTCACTAGTTTCTTTCAATTGTGAACTGCTCCTTTCCGCCATATATCTCTCTTTATCCTTCTGCAATTCAAGAACTTGAGCTTGTAAATCCTGCAATGTTTGCATCACTTCTGCATTGCTAGGATTTCTTCTCCTTGGATGCTTATACAAAGAGGTTGGAGTCACACCATGACCTTTACCCCTCACCCGACCCGGATACTCAGCAATATTTAGTGCTCGACTAAGTACGCTCCTGGTATCGTGAGGATCCTCACCTGGGGATACCGATTGGGACAAGGTCTCCTGTAATTCAATTACATATAAAAAATTATTAGTAGAGATAAAAAATTACTTAAATATTAATAAACATTAATTGATTTAGCTAAAGACACAATCTTATACTTACACATTCATCATACACATGTTGAATATCGGGATTAACAACTTGATCCTTGCCCACACGGGCTTCCTTCCACAACAAATGTGTCGGTAGTGATGTTGCGTCACTTTTCGTCTCTTCTAACTACACAATGACGGAGGTTTAAGATCATCAACTATATAACATATTGAGAGAATTAATAAGATCGTAGAGTTTATATTTACTTACAATTTTTTCTTCTAAGCGAGCATATCCCAAACGCCCTTTTTTGTATGGATATGCGGGTTTTGACGCTCTCTCGCGATTTATAGCACTCACTTTCTTGAAATTCTCATCTCTTCTTTGGCCTACAAAACCAACCCATTCTTCAGGTGTAATGAAGTTCTCATATTTCTTTGGACGTTCCGGATCCTCTTCAAGAAAATTTCCTTCATCATCTTTAAGATACTTGTTGGTTAAAAATGTTCTCCACCCTCTGTGTCTTTTTCCAGCCAAACCCATTATATACTTTTTACGGGTATCTTCAATGTTAAAAGACCTCTACAAAAAACATACGCATAAAGTGTGTTAGTAAAAGAAATTTAAACACATATTATCGTCAAGATAAAGCAAATAACAAAAACCATATATGTACCTTTATCTCAGTCCAAACTTTCTCCTTAGCCTCATCCAACTCTCCTCTTTTCCATCTAGGAGTGGTGATCGGAATGTGTATACGAACAAGCGTACCAATGTAGCTTGTCAACTTTGCAGCATTAGACCCAATTAATTGGTCATTATCATTCCATTCTACATTATATGTTACTCCTCTATCTCTATCACGTATGATTCCCCTCATAATAGTTATACCTCGTGTAATATCTTTTTCTGAAGTATTCTCTTGAGTATTTTCAGGAGCATTTTCAGGAGCATTTGCATTATCTTGATTACTAGTCATTTGACCTGTAATAATGAAAAAAAATAAACATGAAATGTCAAATAAAAATGAAATGACAAATATAAAAATGAAATGACAAATAAAAATGAAATGGCAAATTAAAATGAAATGACAAATATAAAAATGAAATGATAAATATAAATGAAATGGCAAATTAAAATAAAATGACAAATATAAATGAAATAGCAAATAAAAATGAAATAACAAATATAAAAATGAAATGACAAATAAAAATGAAATGGCAAATTAAAATGAAATGACAAATATAAAAATGAAATGGCAAGTTATATATACTATTACCCTTTTCACTAAGGTCTCTTTCTTTTCTTGGTAGGAATGTGTTCTACTCG